AGACAGAATGACTGCACTCATTTGTGGAATGTAAAGTAATAGAAGGGGAGACTAATACCCAAGGATAATAGAGATAAGAGCCAGGAGGATTGCTCCATGGCTTAGAAACCAGCCTCACATGCTGGAGGAAAAGGCAGCTGGGATAGAAAAGAGGCCACCGAGTAAATGATGCTTCGAGGGCTTGCTTGGTTGGGTTGGGAGATGCGTGCTGAAAGTAGACTATAGACCAAACATGATGGCCGCTTAGTACCTGTATTGCAATCCACAACACCCAAAAGGGGAGAGAGGAGGGGTTAAAGGGAATGTGCCTGCCACAGAGGTGTGGGGGGTTGGGCAGGGAATGGGGTAGGGTGGTGTGAGGGATACTGGGAACATTGGTGGTCAAGAATGGGCTCTGGTGGAGGGATGGGTACTCCATCATTTTATGACTGAAAAGTAATCATGAAAGTTTGAAAGTCTGTAACTATCTCATGGTGATTCAGTAAAAGCCAAAATAAAATAAAAAATAAATGTCTGTGCTTGCAAGTACATTGGGAGTGTGCCTTAAGGGGATCAAGACATGAGGGAACTTATTGTTTACTGTTATCAGCAATCTGCAACCCACCCTTCCTGAAAATGTGCTTCATGTTCTCTTTTATTATTAAAACTGCTTTTTAGAACTCTGCAAACAAGATGACTACTTTGAGGACATGGATCTGATTTCTTCCAGTTTGCCAATAAAGCTTTTTCTCATCATTGCCCTATCTCTAGACGGATTGGCCTTTGTGTAGCAGTGGGATTAGACCATTAGACCTTAGGGAGGCAAAATGTGGTAATGCCTTTGTATATCTGTCTCTTTTTGAAATAAAAATTTTTGAAATTAGAATGGAAGGGCTGAAGAGGAAATACAGGAGTGAGGACACTGAATCCACCTTATAGATTACTTAGTCACAGCCTTTCAGTGAACTCGTCCACAGGGCATGAATGTTTTCAACATATTTTTAATTTAGTTAGTGTACAATAGTGTGGCATTCACAACATTAATATCTTTAATATTCAGCTTCATTTATAATCATTTGGCTAAAATAGGTACATTTTACCTGGAAAACTTCTAAAAGGCTACCTATATGTTTTTATTTTAAGAATGACAATATAATAGCAGGGGTAAATAATCTTGACTTTTTCACAGTAGAGTAGCAATGACATAGGTAACCCAGGGGTCATGAGAAACAACTTAATGATCACAATATCTGGATGGCCTTCAAGAAATGGAATTATGTGATCTGGAATTAAAATATAAGTAGGAAGTTACAGGAAAAATTTCATCAAGGAGTTGTAAAGAAAGTAGAGGGGGAAAGAAATGTTACTTTAGAGGTCTGTTTGCAGGTAAGTGGTATATTGTACATATATTAATTGTGTTATTGTAATATTATTTGATAGTGGGCTGGAGTGATAGCACAGCAGGTAAGGCATTTGCCTTGCACGTGACTGACCTGGGTTCGATTCCTCCGTTCCTCTCAGAGAGCCCAGCAAGCTACTGAGAGTATCCCACCTGCACGGTGGAGCTTGGCAAGATACGAGTGTGTATTTGATATGCCAAAAACAGTAACAACAAGTCTCAGAATGGAGACGTTACTGGTGCCCGCCTGAGCAAATCAATAAACAATGGGATGATGGTGCCACAGTGCAGTGGTATTATGATAGCATATTATATTAATTATGTGAATAATATTAATATATATAAGAAACCATCATGGTATAGGCAACATAAATTTTCAAATGTTTATTTTTATTTTTATGATTACAATTTTAAAGGATTTATTTTTCTTTGTTGAGTTAATTTTTGTTTCTGTTTCTCTTTGGAGCTATACCCAGAAGTTATCCAGTGTTGGTATCCCTTCTGGTTCTGCAGTGAGAAATCACTCCTGCTGAGAGGGGGCAACCATAGGGATTGCTGAGGATCGATTGAACCATGGTAGACACATGTAATGCAAACACCTTAGCCACTGTACTTCTCCAAACCCAGGATTTCATATACATTAATTTAAAGTCCAATGATATGAAATCACAAAGAGTTATAATCCAAATTACCACACTTGAAAATACAACCAATAAATTCCCATATTTGAACAAAATAGGGCCATCAAAATACTTTTTAAGTGCCTCCTCTTTATTAAATCTTAATATATGGAGGGCAAAGAAGCTCATTCTTCATAGTTACGATAATCTCTAAAATAATATAAATACCTAAAAATATTATTTTATAAATGCAGCTTTTATACACATAATGCATAATGTCTTTACAAATTTATAAGCAGGTGTTTTCATATGGTAGTTATAAAAATATAAATGTATATCTAAGAATGATTAATTTGAATGAGTTGAACAATTTTATTGAACAGTTTATCAAATTATAATTATTGCTTAAATGGTTAATGGTGCAATTTTGGCATTAGAGTTTTTATCTGTTAAATTGAGAATGAATATTTAAATTTATTTGCTAAAAGGATTAGAACTGTCCATTTAAATCCCCTTTTTTATTTGAAAATAACATTCTGAATGTTTTAGAAATATAAAAAATTTGATTTTTTCCAAGAAACACAATATGCAGGAATAAAATCACAGTGATATATTGTTAATATCCCCTGAGATTATGAACTAATTTTATTTATTTTTATTTTTTATTAGTGAAACACCATGAAGTACAGTTGTGACTTACAAATTATTGTGCTTGGGTTTGTTATACAATGATAGAACACCCATCCCTCCACCAGTGCCCATTCTCCACCACCACCAGTCCCAGTATCCCTCCCATCCTCCACCCCCCATCCCACCCTGTCTTTGTGGCAGGGCATTCCCTTTTGTTCTCTCTCTCCTTTTGGGGGCTGTGGTTTTCAAAAGAGGCATTGAGTGGCAATCATGTTCAGTCTATAATCTACTTTCAGCATGCATCTCTCATCCTGGGAGGATCCTCTCAACACCCTTTATTTGGTGTTCCCTTTGCTATCTGAGCTGCCTTTTCCCCTAGCATGTGTGGCTGGACTCCAGATGATGGAGTGAACCTCCTGGTACTTATCTTGGCTATTCTTGGGTGTTAGTCTCCTATTTTGTTAATTTATATCCCCATGAACGCAATCTTTCTGTCTTTCCCTCTCTTTCTGACTCATTTTACTTAGCATGATACTTTTCATGTAGTACCACTTGTATGTAAATTTCATGACTTCATCTTTTCTAACAGCTGCATAGTATTCCATTGTGTAGATGTACCAAAGTTTCTTTAACCAGTCATCTGTTCTCAGGAACTCGGGTTTTTTTCCCCAGATTTTGGCTATTGTGAATAGTCCAGCAATAAACATAAAAGTGCAAATGTCATTTCGACTGTACTTTTTTGCCTCTCCGGGATATATTCCCAGGAGAGGTATTGCTGGGTCAAATGGGAGCTCAAGTTCTAATTTTTGAGAGTCATCCATACTGTTTTCCAAAAGGGCTGAACTAGTTGGCATTCCCACCAGCAGTTAAGGAGATTCCCTTTCTCGCCACATCCAAAAAACACGATTGCTTTTGTTCTTTCGAATGTGGGCCAGTCTCTGTGGTGCAAGATGATATTTCATTGTTTTAATCTGCATCTCCCTGATGATTAATGATGTAAAGCATTTTCTCATGTGTCTTTTAGCCATTTGGATTTCTTCTTTGGAAAATTTTCTGTTCATTTTATCACCCCATTTTTTGATGGGGTTAGATGTTTTCTTCTTGTAGAGTTCAACCAGTGCTTTGTATATCCTTGATATCAACCCCTTATCAGATGCATATTGGGTAAATATCCTTTCCCATTCTGTAGATTGTCTTTGTATTCTGGTCACTGTATCTTTTGAGGTGCGGAAGCTTCTTAATTTAAGATAGTCCCATTTGTTTATCTCTGTTTCCACTTGGTTGATCAGTGGAGTGGAGTGAACTAATTTTAAAGAATGGAGATAAAAACATCTCTTTGTTGGGGAATATGGGATTTTTGCTTTCCTTGCCTTATTCCCTATGCTGACACTTTTTGTCAAGCAAAACAGAGGATCAACACATTGATTATTTTTACCTTCCTAGCTGCAAGAATGGGGTCAAAATGAGTGGTTTTCTTTTTCTAATTACTTCATCTAACGTACATATATATTATGTACTACAGACTTTGCTAAACTTATTTGGCCTACCACCAGCTTTTCAGGAAAAATAAAACAAAACAAAAAAGAAAACCAAATAACTATGCATACTCCTGGAAATATAACTTCTTCAACCAAACAGAAAATGCCCTTTATTGATTCTGAGGCTATTATTTCTACCACGACCCTCTGGAATGTTCCAGCACTAAAGAATTGCCAAAATTGGGAAGAATTTCTCAAACAGGGAAAAAGACCTGTCCTTCATTGTATCCTTAAAAATGTATAGTAATTATATTTTTATTGTTAGAAATTAAGATAACATATTAAACTCAGTTTTGAATAATTGGTTTTAAAGACAAATTCTGATATAGATACCAAGTTAAAAATAGAGAGCCTGAGGGAAAGTGCAGTGGGTAGGGCAGTTGTCTTTCACTTGGTCAACTGGGATTTGATACCTTACATCACTTATGGTTTAGGAGCACATCTAAGAGTGATCCATGTACACAGAGCCAGGAGTGAACCTTGAGCTCGTTCAGTTTGGTGTCCAAAGATCTTCAATTAGTTATTTTAAAATATACCATCTTGGTGCATTATTACCTATACAACAGAACAAATTTTCTAGTCATGCAATTATTCTTTGTGCCAGGGTTCTTTACAGTTTACCCTTCTTCATCATTTGAACTCTGTGGGTTCACTTTTAAACAGCTTATGTCGGCAGTGTTAAACAAGAATTCAATTCTTTAAGTTTAACTTTCATTTAGTTTAACTTTCTTTACTATAGTTATATAATGCATTGTATGTAACATAGAAAATATATTCAAACTTGGGGGTGTTAAAAGTAATATGTATATTTACATAACTTGAAAGTCAACTGTGATACTTCCCTAGTAGGGGAGATCCTATGATCGTGGGGTGGTTTTCCTAGGGCAAGGCTTATCCTTTGTGCTCTGGGTGTGCTGACCCTGGTGATTTCTCCAATGGTGGGAAACTCAACTGCATAATTTGTTGAAGTGAAGGGACTGCATTTGTGCTCTCTCCTGAAAAAAAGGGGGGGGGAAAGTCAGTTGTGACCGGAGAAATATGACAACATGTAGGGAGTTTGATCCAGCAAACTGGACCCAGCAAATCTAGCACATCATCCTGGATTTTATCCTTGGTACCCCATATAGGCCACTAAGTGCTACCAGGAGTGCAAAGCCAGGAGGAAGTTCTAAGCTCTGCCAGAAATTGTCTCAAAACAACAATAACAAAAAAGAAAACTTTATATGAGTGGCAGTGATATTCATATTTTGCTTTGACATAGTGATAACTTTCTTAATGAAATATATTGTAAGCTTTTAGATAAATTCCATCCAATCTGAGAGACATGGCAAGAACTCATGTTAAAGGGAGAGAAGTGCTAAGACTGAGGAGAGGTAAACTCAGTTGTATTTTCTGAAGCCCTTGGCTGTAGATAACCTAAGATATGTGAATAAAAAATGGTGATAAAATTAGGCCACCAAGTAAGTGTTGTTCTAGAGATAGGATCAATTAGGTTAAAACTATGAAGTGGATGTTGCACTCCCGCAATGCTTCTTATAATAATTAAGAGTTTTTGAACCAACCAAATATAAACATTACATTCTGCACTAATTGGTAGTTTGAGGGAAAAAAATACTTCCGCTGCATAATATCTCTGTTTAGTGAGAAAGCAAAAAAATCCTAGTCCCCATTACCTCTGACATCTGATTCTAATGGGCCATATGGTTCCTGATTCTGCTGTAAGTAACTTAATGCTTTGTGTAATTAAGAGGGCATATGCTTCCTGTATAAAATCACTGTTAGAGCACCTTTGCACTGTGCTAACCGTCATGGACCAGGTTGTGATACCAACTTTTATCTTCTGCCAATAAACTTTAATATTGCTTAATCAATTTAGAAAAAAAATTATACATCTCGCAGGTTTTAAAAATAGCCATATGCATTATTCCAGCTTATTCTCAGATATTTTGTTAAAGAGAAATTGGAACCTTGTCATTCTCTTTTCTCCTCTCCCTATCAATATGCTTTTATGGTGATGATTTGACCAGATATCAGGGCAACGTCAAAATTCTCCATAGAATAATTACACTCTTTCGGAAATTTATGTACTCTCTAGTTATATTCCAGCTCACTTACTTTTAAAGATCTCAAGGGACATATTTTTTTTCTGTTAATCACATCTCTTCAAAGTAATAGCTGCAGGTGTATGGTCAAACAAATGTGTACCGTCAGTATAATCATACACATGAAGGGGCCACAAAACAATACAGCCTTTATTTGATGTTCTGAGGATTGAACCTCCTTTATCATAGCTAAAAGTAGTGATATGATTCAGTTCTTTATCTTGATTTCCTATTCTGCTTCAAGATTTTGGAAGGATGGTTTCCATTCAGCCTAATATACTGTAGAGTTGTCAGAACACACTCATTTTTTTCTAAGTCAACAGCATCAAAGAACTGATCAAGAATCAGGTATTGAGGTTCTTCACATATTCAAATCAACTAGAAGCTGTAGGAATTTTGAAAGAAAATCTTGAAGAAGAAAATAATGCATCTATGAATTAAATTGCACTTATTCAGTAGGAACATGTGCTATATGTTAACAATAATTATAATTTTTTTTGCATCCTTTCTCAAAGATGCTTCTTTTTTATCATTGTATTTATTTCCTTTCATTATGACAGAAATATCCCTTACCTTTTGACTCTGGCCAACCACGTATTTAACTTTGATCTCGGAAGGAAACAAATGTAGGGATTGCACTAGTTCTGTAACTATCCTCAAAGGAACGTGTTTTCTTTGTACTGGGTTGTTGAATTTGTATCACAGAAGAGTAAGTAGTCTACGCACAGCAGTCCATTAATCCTGGTAGACAAAAAGAGACACATGAAACTGAATCAACCCATTTATAGTTGAGAAACTCACCTGAGATCAATTGAACTCTAAAGATGAGCAATAAAAATGCATTTACTTGTCTTTGCTCTTGAGGACATGTGTTTCTAAGGAAATGACAGTGATCTATTTTCTGTAAAGAGAGCTATATTCATTTGATAATTTACCATGCTTTACTTTGTTCTCATTGTTAAATATGGACATAATCATATTAATGCTTTGCACCAAATGCTCTTGAATCTTCATCTTTTATAGCATGTTGCAGATTGGTGTGCATGAGTAACCAGTTGTGACAGGTGACTGAGCACTTAATTGCTGCAACAGGCCGTTATAGAACCTTTTCCCTTTGCCCTTTAGGATATAACTTTTGGCAATGTCTCACTTAATCACTGTCTATTCATTCTGGATCCCAAAGTAAAAACGAGGTCAGAATGTTGCCATTTCTATGAGAACTAAGCCTTTGCTATTTTAACCTGTAAGTTATTTTTCCCAAAGTTGCATTGTATTATTTCACCCAGTATTTGAGGCTTTCAAAGAGAGGACTTAGAATTCTCGCCTGCCTCTAATCATCAGCCATAAATGAGAATCAGGGAAATTCAGAGCTGTGGATTTGGCAGAAATGAGAGATAAATATTTCCCAATAAGTCATATATAGTTCCCTTTGCCCAGTTGAAAGCAGCTATGTGATTTTTTTTCTGCACTGAGAATCAGTTAAAGTGAGCCTAATTCCAAGTCAATAAAAAGATTGTATTATAAATAAAATGCTGATTTCCTAGGACTGAGTTCTCCTTTCAAAGTGGAGAGAATACCTAGATTGAAAAATTCAATTTGGTTTATGATTAAGTGTTACATATCCAACATGAAAGTGATAAATTTTTTAAAAGTAACAATAGTAAAATAAACTTAGGATAATTTATTTTAATTTTCTCCTCTCAAATACTCTGGGCCAAGTTTGATGTGTCTCTGCACCCAGCTGGAACCTTTCACCAACTCTCAGAAAATAGTGAGTCCCAAAAATCTTTTCACCTCAGTGCTGCTGAGACAGGAGATTGGAAGGTTTGCGGAACAAATGTGCAATGCATCTCAATGCACATTTTTTAATGTGGGTGTTCTTGCATTTAGTCTTCCCATGAAACCCTGCCTTAAGGATGATTCTTCCAAACAAGGATTGTTCATAGACATTTAAATAGTGGGTTAGTCAAATGGCCAAGACCACACAATAAGGAAACATTAGCAGAAGTCCTCTCTCTACTTTTCTACTTTCATATTTTCCTCCAAGTGTCATATATTTCTTCTTCCAAGATGCCTTGGATGCCTTGTCACCAAACCTTTTCTTCATACACACAGACAATACACACAGTCCACTTCCAGTATCTTTTCTTCTGCGGGTTATATAAAGTATGGAATGCTAGCAATTACATCCCTCTGAAGATATGTAGGATATTTTCTAATGCCTAACTATTGGTCTGCTTTTCTTCCTTGTGTTTCAATTTATTAATGTTTTCTTTTTCTCTTTTTCTTCATTTCTTATTTTTTCTAAACTTTTTGCTTATTTCACAACATTTTTAGGCATATTATGAGATAAAAATTAATTACTCCTTGATTATAAGGTATACAAGTGAGGGAATAAATTGGAAGGATTTTAATGTTTTTCTTTTTTCACCAAGCAAAATGAAACAAATACGATTTGTAGTGATATTTCTTTTATTTCCAAAGGGAATGGATAGATTGAATTTTCAAAAAAACTTAATGCAATTGAAATAGCAAAGCTTCTATTTTCTCTCTTTATACAAATCTCTCCATCATGAAATAAATAAGAAAAATAAATAAGAAAAAATAGTGTTAGACTATTATTACTACATTAGAACAACCACGAGAGATAGTGCAGTGGGTAATGTACTTGCCTTTCACATGGCCAACTCAGACTCTATCCCTAGCACCAATATGGTGCTCTGATTCCTGACAGGAATTATCTCTGAACATAGTGCCAGGGATATGCCCTGAGAATTGACAGGTGTAGCCCAAAAACCAAATTCAAAATAAGCAAATAAAGGAACAGACAAAAAATACCCCAACCAAACACAACAGAAAACAAGTATAATTCTACAAGATTACCTTTCCTGAATATTCATAATATATAGGTGTTTCATGCTTGATTATCTGGGCCTACTTTGTCCCTTTGTATACATGGACATGAGCATTGCATTGTCCTTCAGTAAATATGAACAAATTAAGTTCATATTACCTAGCATAGGGAAAACGTAAAGCTTCATTCAAATGATCTAAACATATGCCAAGTAATGGAAGAGGTTCTCTACTTGATTTCTTTGAACTTCAGTGTCAGGAAGAGAAAATTGTGATTTTTGCTCTTTCTTTTGCTTTGAAGAATTTCCTTCACCATTTGTCCAGCAGAGTTTTGTAATCAGTCCTATAAACTATGACAGAGTACAAAGGTAAAGAATCTTAAAAGTCCTGCAACAGCAATTAAGTGCTCAGTCCCTCTCAAACTCTCAAAACATGTGTCCTGTACTACCAATATACAATGTGTTATGAAAGATGACAAGTCAAGAACATTAACACATCTGCTTCCACATTTCTCAGTAAGAGCAAGTCTTTAAAAAGTTTGCTAAACAGCAAGCACTTATTAGTAATCAAGCACCTAATCAGCTCTATGATAATTTATTGATTTTTAATTGTTTTGTCTTCTAGAGTCCCATTCATCAAGGCAGATATGGTAATGTGCTCCAGCAAATGAGACTGTCCTCTGCTTTGACTTACTTGTTAGCAGTGATGCAATATTCCTCTGAGGGGCCTCTATAGGAAACCTGTATTTTGGCCTATATCTCATTCTAGATTTACGTTTAAAAAGGGATAGAATCTTGAGGTTGAGACAGTTCCAAGGTCACTGAATGACAGCTATCTTAGCAGCATCGAATAGTACTGATTGCTAAAGTACTTGCTTTTATATCTTTCCTGTTTATATTTTTGGTTATTCTTACTGCTGAATTTCATATACCGTCGTATTTGTATATTAGGAAAGGAGATGATTTTTATCTTAAATTTGGTTGGTTCTCAGAAAGTGGCTTCTTGCAATGGAATGAAGTTGAAGAAAAAGATTTTGCTTCAGG